TTTTTAGTAGAGACGGGGTTTCACCATGTTGACCAGGATGGTCTCGATCTCTTGACCTCGTGATCCACCCGCCTCGGCCTCCCAAAGTGCTGGGATTACAGGCGTGAGCCACCGCACCCGGCCGAAACCCCATCTTTTAAAAAAAAAAAAGAAATTTGAAAAGCACTATAATATATAATAATCAGCTTTGATAATAGGTGTTTTAATTGAAGACTAATTAATAAATTAATTTCTTTCTCTTTTTTTTGAAACAGTCTTGCTCTGTTGCCAGGCGCCATGCCGGAGTGCAGTGGCGCGATCTCAGCTCACTGCATCCTCCGCCTCTCGGGTTCAAGCAATTCTCCTGCCTCAGCCTCCCGCGTAGCTGCGATTACAAGCATGTGCCACCACGCCCAGCTAATTTTTGTATTTTTTAGTAGAAAGGGGGTTTCACCACGTTGACCAGGATGGTTTTGATCTCTTGACCTCATGATCCACCTGCCTCAGCCTCCCAAAGTGCTGGGATTACAGGCATGAGCCACCATGTCCAGCCAATAAATTAATTTATTTCTATGTTATCTGATATAAGCTGACTTTATTCTTGTTAGATATAGACAGATTAAATTCCTCACTTAAACAGTTTCTTTGCATAGCTGAGCAATTCCAGTGATGTCTCCACTTGATCTCGTAACTTTTCATTTTTATTTTTACTCTATTGCTTAGACTCTGAAAACTCAAAAAATCCTTTTTCTTTGTATACTATTCTCATTAATATTTGAATTATAAACTGCCTTTTCTCCTTTATTATGAGAAACATCCCAGATCCTTTTCAGAATCCTTTGGAACTAGCAGATGGAGTTTTAGAAAATTAGGAAGGTGGCAGGGTGCGGTGGCTCACGCCTGTAATCCCAGCACTTTGGGAGGCCAAGGCGAGCAGATAACAAGGTCAAGATATCGAAACCATCCTGGACAACATGATGAAACCCCATCTCTACTAAAAAATACAAAAATTACTGGGCATGGTGGCTCACACCTGTAATCCAGCACTTTGGGAGGCCCAGGCGGGCAGATCATGAGGTCAGATCGAGACCATGGTAAAACCCCTGTCTCTACTAGAAAATACAAAAATTAGCTAGCCGTGGTGGTGCACGCCTGTGGTCCCAGCTACTTGGGAGCTGAGGCAGGAGAAATGCTTAAACCCAGGAGGCAAAGGTTGCAGTGAGCCGAGATCGTGCCACTGCACTGCAGCCTGGTGCCTGGCAACAGAGCAAGACTCTGTCTCAAAAAAAAACAAGAAAAAAAAAAGAAAAGAAAAGAAGGTTCATTCAGCTCAGAAACTAGTATCCGTTATAGATCTCTTTCTACTACTGAGTAAGTACTTTTCAGCAGCTGATCAAAGTTCCATTAACTAGTTTCTTAATAAAGAAGACACTCATGGTCAAGAATTCAGGAATTTAACATGGGCAAATATGCTTTTGACAGTATTAGCAACAGATATCATTAGAAAGTAAGCTAGGTCATTTAGCCTAGGCTTGTCTTCAAAACAGGATGTCTTCAACTCTGGGTGTGGTGGCTCACACCTATAATCCCAGGATTCTTCAAGCCCAGGAGTTTGTCAGCAGCCTGGGAAACATAGTGAGACCCCATCTCTATAAAAAAAAAAAAACAACAACCAAAAACAAAAACACAGGTGGAGCAAGATGGCTGAATAGAAGTCTTTATTATTCACCCCCGACACCCCCACAGAAACAACAAATTTAACAACTATCCACACATAAAAGTATTTTCATAAGAAACAAAAATGAGGTGAACAATCACAATACCTGGTTTTAACATCATATCACTGAAAGAAGCATTGAAGACAATCTCGAATTGCTGATGCCACCATTCCCCCATCTCCTGGTGCCCGTGCATGGTGCAGAGAACTTGTAAGCTCGCAGGAGTGAGAGCACAGCAGTTGTGGCATTGAACTCAGTGTTGTTCTGCCATAGCAAAGCAAAATCAGGCTGAACTCTACTGACACCCACCCATGGAGGGAGCATTTAGTCCAACCCTAGCCAAAAGGGAATCACCAATCCCAGCAGTAAGAACTTATGTTTTGTTAGCATTTTGGGCTAAAGTGATCTGGGGTCCTAAATAAGCTTGAAGGCAGTCTAGGCTACAAAGACTACCATTCCTAGGCAATTCCTAGTGCTGTATTGAGCTCAGAGCCAGTGGACATTGGGTGGGGGAGGCACGCAACCTAGTGAAACACCAGCCAGAGCAGATAAGGGAGTGCTAATGCTACCCCTCCCACAACCCCAGGTAGCACAGCTTGCAGTCACAAAAGTGACTCCTTTCTTCTGCATAAGGAGATGAAAGGGAAGAGTAAAGAGGACTTTGTCTTGCAAATTGGAGACCAGGTCAGCCACAGTACCATAGGGCAGTGGATAGAGTCATGAGGCCCCAGTTAGGCCCTAGCTCCCAGACAGCATATCTAGATAACACCAGGACCAGAGGGAACCTGCTACCTTGAAAGGAAGAACCAGTCCTGGCAGGTTCATCACCTGCTGACTAAAGAGCCTTTGGGCCCTGAAGAACCAGCAGCGATACCCAGGTAGTACGTTGTGGGCCTTGGGTGAGACTGTAGAGTAGCAGCATCTAGACGTGCTGGCTTCAGGTGAGACCCAGCACATTCCCAGCCATGGTGGCTGTGGTGAGAGACTTCTGCTTGAGAAAAGCAGAGGGAAAGGTAAAAAAGACTTTGTCTTATAGCTTAAGTACCAGCTCAGCCACAGTAGAGTAGAACACTACGTGGGCCCTTGGTGCCCTTGATTCCAGCCTTGGCTCTTGGATGGCATTTTTGGACCTGCCTTGAGCCAGAGGGGTGCCCACTTCCCTGAAGGGTGAGTCCCAGGCCTCACAGTATTCAACACAAGCTGACTAAGCCCATGGGCCTTAAGTGAACATTAGCAGTAGCCTGGCAGTACCCTCCATAGGTCTTTGATGGTGGCCAAAGGGACTGGCTCCTCTGTCTGTGGAAACGGGAAGGAAGAGTGGGAAGGACTTTGTCTTATGGTTTGAGGGTCAGCTTAGCCATAGTAGAATAGAGTACCAGGTAGACTTCTAAAGTTTTTTACTTTAGCCCCTGGCTCCCAGACTACATCTTTGGACATCCTGGTGGCTGAGGAAATTCACCACCCTAAAGGAAAGGACACAAGCCTGGCTGGCTTCACCATCTGCTGATTGTGGAGCCCTGGGGTTTGAAGTGAACATAGGCAGTAGCCAGGTAGTGGTCACAGCGGGTAAGACCCAGTGCTGTGCTGACTTCAGGTATGACTCAGCACAGTCCCAGTGGCAGTAGCCTCAGGGTTGCTGTGTCACCCCATATCCAGCTCTAGGTGCCTTATCACAGAAACAGAGACTAAATTTGTTAGGGGAAAAGGGAAGAGAACAGGAATTTCTGCTTGGTAATCCAGAGAA